TTTCGCAATTTTGTTTATTGGTCCTAAAAGAAGAGAAATACCCTTAAGCAGTCGATTGGCTAACCTGAAAAATAAACTAAATAAAGATACCAATGGGTTGGTAATGTGAGTTATTGTTTTTAATGGGAAGGCATGAAAGTTCTCTCTTATTCCCAAATCAATGCTGTGGAGTAAATAAATGAAAATGAGGATTCTCTATCAACTATAATTGATTTGCTCAATGGGGGATAGGTAATTAAATTATAAAAATCCATCAAATGTGCATATATTACCTTTAGCAGACACCAAATTGTGATTTTCTGCAAATGTCATTCCAGATTTTAAACATTCACCAAACCAAACCAAATGAAATCCAGATGGTTAACCTGAGGTAAAAATAGCTGATCTGGAAAAAATCTCCAACTTGGCCATGGCCACAGCTTGGCTGTTTTTACCTTATTTTTCATATTCTGATTTAATACATGAAAATTTGTAGTGTATAAAGAGTTTAGTGTATAATGACCTTGATGGCAGTTTTCCCTAACTTTACAATTTGGAGGAATGTTAGACTCATTCTATCTGACTATTTCATGTTCTGTAAATCCGGTAATTGTGGCATGTACTTACCTCCGGCCTGGCAGCCAGCCTACTGCCATGCAGCCGAGCGGCATAGGGAAGGGTACTAACCTCCCTTGAGTTGCGCAGCCCTCCTCCTGCCGCGTGCCCCAGCCAATCCACGCGGCAGGACTCCCTTATATAGACTGTAGGCGTAACATCATGCTAGTTCTTAAAGTGACCACGTAATCATTGCGATCTTAATCTATTTTGAGTCGCAATGATGACGTGGACTACTCAGTTCACAGGTAAGCCTATTTAAGGCTTGCTTTGGCCCATATTCTTTGCCGTATTGTGGTTTCTGTTTAGATCCTTGTTTATTGCTCCTAGTAATTCCCTTGTTATTTCCTGTGTTTGACCTCGGCTTCGTATTTGACTGTTGAATTCTAGTATACTGACCCTGGCTTTGTATTTGACTCATGTTTTCTGGTATCCTGACCCCGGCTTTGTTTTGACATTGAGTATTTCTGTTATTCCTGACCTTGGTTTATCGTGACTTATTTCTTGTTGTATTAATACGTTAAGTCCGGCTATTCTAAGGCTCGGTAATACGTGTTTCAGATCCACCTTTTGTGGGTTTCCTCTTTCCTGCGTGTTAGGGTACAACTCCTGTGACAGTTATAATATAAGGTAATTTTAGAAAAATATTGTACACAGATCCACCTGTCTGCTTAAAAATTTCAACAGACTGGTGAGATTTTTCTATATCCAATAGATGCCAGTAACAAGGATGATGGTAACAATAAAAGCAATTGGTGTGGAATAATTGTATTTGCTTCATCATTTAAATTTTTTAATTAATTTTAAGACATCAACTTTGATTATGGTGAGTCTTTGGGATGGCAAAACTACCTATGCAGAACATTTTGCAGAATTAGCAGGTAAGGTTGTTCCAAACTACGTTTGTGTGAATATTTGATGATTCTTTGTGCCAAGTGCAAAATGAAAAGAACCAACTTAGTGTGGCAAATTATTTTTGGAGTGATTTTTTTTTTTTTTTTTTTACAGATTGTCTTGGAGTTATTTGAATCATTGCAAATCGGCACTGGGTTACAATGTGTGTTCAACAAATACTTGAGCTTTTGAAAGAAAATGTCAAACTTTATTGAAAAAGACTCAAGGAGGTTCTCCTGTTATGTATTTTAGTTTTTGCATACTTAAAGGAACACAATAGTGTTCGGAATATAAAGCGGTATTCCTAACACTGGAGAGTCTTCCTCTCCCTTCCACCCCCACTTACCTGATTCCAGTGCCGATGTCACTCCTCTGCCGACAGCCCATGCGGGGGACCTACTGGGCATGCGTGGCCCCATAGTAATTTTATAAGGACAACCAGCGTTGTTTCATGGACTTCCATTGAAATGCTAAGGGGGACAGGGCACTACACCCATACCACTTAAATGAGATCAACTGGCCTGGGTGCTTATAGTGTCCCTTTAAAGCACTTTAGCCACCTGAAATTATTTATATGTGAAGAGTGTGTAATCATTTTTTCCGTTTTTTTCCCATTTTACACAGAGTGCTTATTTCAATAGAATTTTTCCTGGTCAGTGGAGATAAACTCAATAGAAAGCAATTGCCCAGAGTACCTTGCAAAGGCTTTCTCATTGAACTGCATTGAGATGAAGTGGTCTGGATGACTTTAGTGTCCCTCTAAAAGAAAACTTAACATTTCCTGAAATTTTTTTTTTAACCCGAGTTCCACAGCAGTCATTGTTTCTTTTTAAAGAGAAACTGTCACTTCCATGGAACAGTCACTTGTTCCCTCTCCCCAATACAAGCTGTTGAAGCATTTACTGTGATAAATAAAGAAACGCATTAAGCACCATAACCACTACAGCATGCTGGAGTGCATTGGTGCCTCTCCAGTGTAAGCAGTTAATTTGTTTGCTAACCGCTAGGCACTGTTTCCTGTCTTTGCATACAGATGGAAGCTCTCTTCACTGAGCCTAGTCCATTGTTACATAGCTTAGCTCTTTTGGCTGAGAGCATCAGCGGATCCTCTCAGCCAATGAGCTGACACCATACTACGCGGCTTGGTTTAGGCTTGGTTTAGGGCGCTAACAAAAGCTTTTTCTGCCAGGAGCTGCACAAAAGTGTGATGTAGTGTCTAGTGTACTTGGGGAAAGAAATCATACTGTTGCCACTACAGTGCAGTGTAAGTAATTTCTCTAAATATAACCCTGTATATGTTAAAATCTGCAAAAACAAGGGTATACGTATAAATAGATTATATTTTTAAATATTCGTCAATGATCCCTTTCATTTGTGCTCAACAATTTCCTCATCTGTAATATTTACATTCATACACCTGACTCAGGAATCCAGATTAATTGCTCATTTTGTATATTTTTAAATTGTTAATGACATGCTGGGTTTATTAGGTGTGTTCTAGAACAAATCTACAAGAATGAATCCTGTGGCAGGAAAATGGATATTTATTAAAGAAATATCAAACACTGAACAGTTTGAAAACCACGAATTAACACAACAGTAGGCATAGTTATTAGGTCATATTTTTAGTAGATCCATTGGGGACGATAAGGCTCATACATCGGTTTTGTTCACGTGGAGGCCATACTGAACCTACACTGATATTCAAAGGCAATCCATACTGTTAGGTTCCTGCCTCTAACATTTATCATCTCTTAATGTTTCTTCTAAAATTAGTTTGACAAAGAGTTTTGTAAGTTGTATTTCGAGTGTCAACTGGTGGGCCACCCAGTGGATCCTATGTAGATATATTGGAAAATAACATACAATAAACTCCGGTATAATAAACAATTGGCTTAGAGAGTACTGCTTTGCTTTTTATTTTATTTTTATTTTTTTATCTCTCTACTGTAAATATTCCTTCAATAAAGGAATTCCCATATGGAAAAAAAACACCTGAATAAAAGTTTCTTTTTCTTTTTTTTTTAATTGGCAAGAAAACTAAATGTTATGGTTTATTAATTTTAGTTTCAGTGCATTATTAAAAAAATAATAATAAAAAATACACTTTTTTTTTTAAAGCATCTTTAGGCCATGTTTAGTCATCTTTAGGCCATATTTTACAAGCTGAAGGAACTCTCTGGATACCTATACCATAAATAAAATTATTTGCTGTTAGATTTCTAGAACCTCTGGTTTAGAAGATAATTTATTTAGGTGATTGTGGAGTTAGATGGTCTGTCTGTGTGTGACCCAGCTATTATTAGTTGAAGAGCTTGGAAACACAAGAGACAGGCATGAAGAAAAGGGAGGTTTTTACCCATTTGATTGCTGTCAAATAAGCAGATAAGAAGTGAAGTGTTAACATATCTCTTGTGTCTTGACTCCTGTAGCTTCATGCTCTTCCAAAATGCCATAGATTGCGTAAATGTCAAATGTGGGCCCTTGAAGGCACCTTCTATTAGAAACCAAGAACTAGTGTCCCACTGAGATATAAAAGATATAAACTGCCTTCTGAAGCTGGGCATTTGGTCAATTTAGTTTTCTACCCCTTTCCAAAGTCACCTAAAAAAATATGGGTTAAGCATTCTTTTCGAATGTCCTTATGGATGTCATGGAAATAAGGAAAGTTAATACTGAGATGTGTAGTAGGAGAACATTTTTTTCAAACACGTGTAACAAATCTATTGTAGACTTATAGATAGAATCTTTATAAAATACGAATAAAAACTGTGTTGGAATTTCTCTAAAATTCCATTGCAATTCCAAGATACTAAAAGACAAAGTTGGGACTACTTGGTCTTATGGTAAAGCCTGAGGTTGACAAAACAGCAGAGTTCTGCTGTCAACTTTTGCCCAGTCGCTGCAGTCATCACAAATGACTTATAGAGGATCCTGAGGTCTTGCGGGATCCTCCAGAGATCTCTTGCAACTAAACTGCCAGGAGCTGAGGAGGATCTGCGGCATGAAGATGGTGGCGGCCGCAAAGGACAACCTGAGGTAAGGTTAACTCACTTCTCCAGCACCCACCGAATCCACATCGCATCTGTCAGTTTTGGACAGGTCCACTTTAAGACTTAAAGCTTAGGCAATAACCTTTTTGTATTATTTTTAATTTACAGTATTGTGTATTTGAGAATGAATGAGCAAATTCCACGTGATATGTTTAAAAATGCATCTACTCCAGCCTGGATGGTCCATTCTAAAACCTAGTATAGTATATGTAAATGTAATAGAAATTAGTTTTTAGTTAGTATATATATTTTTTTATCCGGAGTATAAATTTACATTTAATAAAATAAGCGATGCAGTCCTCTAATTTCTTCAGGACAAAGCCGTATAAACCGTTATTGGGAAGTCAGCCTGGTTATTTAGGCGTTAAGGAGTCGACACACACATAGAGGATTTTTAGAAGAACCATAACAGGAGCAGTGATGTCGCGAACTTGCCGCAAACGGTTCGCGGCGAACTCTGGTCAGCTGACACATCCCTGCCAATCTCTGGCAGACCCTCCCTCCCAGACCCTCCCACCTCCTGGACAGCATCCATGTTGAAGCTGCCTTCAACATGGATGCTGTCCAGGAAGTAGGAGGGTCTGGGAGGGAGGGTCTGCCGGAGATTGGCAGGGATGTGTCAGCTGACCGGAGTTCGCAGCGAACCGTTTGCGGCAATTTCGCGAACGGTTCGCGACATCACTAAACAGGAGCAATATTTTGTGCAATATCCCTTTCTTGGCGATAGTACCATATTAAATGTAACCTGGACTGGTGCCCTCCATTAATTTGTGGCTGTGAATTATGTTTATATAATGTATTTGAGTGTTTATGTATATAAGGCATAATAATTGTTTAGGTTTTGCTATTGTAGATTTATATATTGCTTTGTGTCAAATAACTTTTAATTTACTTTACTTTCCAATACCACTTTAGCTGGTGTTTGCATTTAGAGGTTGCATGGCATTATTCATAGGCACTCTGCTATGACTTTGGTACAGTAGTTTAGCTCTATTACAAGAAGGGACATTGCGGTATTCCTAGATCTAAAACCAGTGTATAGGAAAAACTATGACATAGATATTTATTTAAATTTTACCCTTCGTGCCTGAAGATTGCCATATTATAGAGTATGTTTTCTAGGGAAATTATAGCCATTTTAGATCAGAACAATATTATTTTACTTACCCTAATGCCGATGCATTGTTTTGCAGACTACAGTTTAGATTGTTTTAAATTCTAAACATTCTATCTCAGCACACAAATATGGGGATTCAGTTCCACCATATGGCCATATCGTGTTAAGCCCACCATTATGCCACAGTACCCCAATACTGGTGGGTCCTACACTAATTTTAAGAGACAAAGTAAATAGTGCTAGTGCTAAATGAACTTACGTGTATTTGAGTAATCTGTTGTGAGAGCATTGTGAATATATCAAATGCAAAATGAATGTGATAAAAAACACAATTCAAGAAAATACATTGTCAAATCTAAACAATTAAAGTGATAGTGCTGTGATGCGTATATACACACAATGCATATCATATATCTTCTCAATATCAAATAAAAAAATTATTTGTTAAAGTGACAATGCTATCCAAAACTTACTCAGATTTATAATTTCTTGTATTCAGATGCCCCTTTGGAGGTGACTACAAGAAGGTATAAATTTGATAATTGAAGCACTATGACTTTAATTGTTTAGTTTTGACACTGTTATTTTTTTGAATTGTATTTTTTCATCACATTAATTTTGCATTATATATATATTCACAATGCTCTTACAACAGATTAATTAAATACGTCTTCTTTCATTTAGCAGTAGCACTATTTAATTTGTCTCCTACGTTAAAATTTGAGGGACCCACCGATGTTGGGGTACTGTTGGCTTAATATTATAGTGCAACTGAATCCCCATATTTGTTTGCTGTGTAGGTGATATTAAGCCTTGTAAAATGTAAAATAGTATTTTTGTGTGTGCGCTGTTCCTTAATCTGTTTCTTGTATACAGTTTAGTCTCTACGGCAACACCATCGAAGAGAAACGCGTGTTCCGGGTGTGCCCCCAATTCCCTTTTTGTCTATTTACAATTTAGACTGTAATGGGTCAATGTCTTGCTTGGGAGAAAAGTAGGGTTAAATTCTCTTTCTAATATCAAGGAAATGCAGTCGAAATAAGACTTCCCTGTGTTGTGCTTAGAGCGCCATCTATTGACAAAACACACCTAGTCATTAGAAATGGGCTAGTGATAGCAGACTGTGTGCGTCTGTAACTAGCTGACAATGTGCATTCAGTAGCCGAGCAGAGGCGCTGTAAAATAGGCAGCAAGGCTCAAAGCATGCGATTCTCCCATCCATGTACTAGCAAGACCTGACTTTTTTTTTTCTGTGTTTTACATAATTTGCAAAACTTCCTAAGTAACACGAAAGACCATTTCAATTACAAGAACCATTCCTCAAGGTAAGACATCTGGGTATCTACCTAGAAATACCTGGTAACTTATTCCCTATATACCCAATATACGCAGCAACATATTCAGCCTACCCAACCACCCTGTATACCAGAGTAAATTCTAGTAATTGTGCATCACCTGGACTTGTATAGAGCTAGTGGTTATGTTAAACTTTTAATTAATATATATATATTTTTTTGTGTTATTACTCCTATTCCTACTTCCATTTGTCTCTGAGCTGTAATGTTTGTTGTGCAGGTGTGGGAGACTCTCGTTGCTGCTGTCTATTTTGTCTGGGGCTCATCTCCCTGTTATATCTCTTGACGAGGCGCGAAGTCTGCCCACCTCTTTCTGCTCATGATTTCAGCTAGTAATGTGGACTCTCTGCCCTCCTTCTCACCCCCTTTGGGTCCCGCCCCATGCATTAACTCTCATGTGATCGCGATTAAGGAGGGAGTGTGGCATGATGCCAACTCAGGAGGGAAACTGATAGATCAGGGAGATGAAAGAGACTGTGCCTGAACAGACAGGCGATGGGGTGTTTGTCTGTCCCTGCCATACATCTCATCTGCCTTTTCATATGGTTCCTGTCTCGTGCTTCTTTCTCCTCTGTAGCTCTGTCTGTGCCCCACTTGGGTGCTATTTTAGGAGAAAATAGTGGAAAATTCAAAAACCCTGTAAAATATCTAAAATTTGTCTTAAAAATAATATTCAATTCTGTGTTTGTCTGGCCGGTGTTTTGCAGAGTAGCATCTTTTGAAACGTATCAATAACCTTTGTCACTTTGGCTCTTGCTGACTACAGTTCATGACTCTCAGCCAGCTTAACAGAGCAACATTGGGAATTATAGAAAAAATGTTCATAACAGCTGGCCCTGGGGTAGTAAGCTTTAGCTGTTCTAGGTTTGACAATGTCCTTACATTTTTGAAATTAGTAAGTAATAGCATTTTCAGGCAAGTCACTTGGCATACAAAATCTCAAAATCTGACACTGTAGAAGGAGGTTTTAGGACAGGTTCTCTAGTAGTTATGGTACCCTCAGTATTTAGTTCAGAATGGACTCCATAGGAAGGCTCCAGGATTCCATTGTCTACTGTAGGCAATGTGTTTGAAAAAAAGAGACAGCATTGGCTCCCAAACCTGATCCTAAATGGGACTAGAGTTTGGAAAATAGAGTTTTTAATTTTTTATAAAAATGTATACTTGTGGACTATGACAAGTTTTGCTAACAGATAGTAATAATTTGAAAAGTTGATCCGGGAGCATTAAATCAAGGCCTATATTGGGCCATTTTCCTAAATATAGTCATGAATTCTGTTCCAAGCAAACAAACCGTGAACTACATGATATCGATATTTAATTATAATTTATCGTTTAGAGTTTGAATAGAAGGATTGAATTAGAAGATGATGCCATCAAAACATACATTTTTGAAAGCTACATTTTCTCATTTTCTTGTAAGCTGCCTGTTTCTGTAAAACCTTTTTTGGAACTTTTTTTGTTTTTTTAAAGGAATATTGTTGGTGAGCATGAGTGGAAAAGGTTAGGGTGGAGTATTACTGAATACCTAGGGAACATTAAAACACAGGCAGTGAGCCATGGTTGTGATATAATATATGTAAATCATATTCTGGTATGCAAATCAGGTTCAACATACATCTCCCCCTAATTCACACCAACTCCCTGCTAAGTAGCAATAGGTCAGGGAGGACTAGATGATTAATCATCATGATGAGGGAATGATCTGTTTTTTAAAATCTTGTTCCATATCAGAAGTATTGCTGAAATGTAGTTTTTAGAAATTGTACTACCTGAGTGACAATAATACAAGCTTCCAAAATGTCACAAAACCAAAGTGAAGTAGGTTGTTCTGCAAAATGCCATCTGTAGTTACCTTAGTAGACATAAAAATCTGTTTTATTGTTAAGGGAATTGTACTTTGGATTATGAGTCGCAGGTGTTGCAAACAACTAATGCTTCCATTCAGCTGCTGGAAATCTTAGATAAAAGTTACTCTATCAAGACTCCGTGTGCTCTCTGTTGGCCTCTTTAGAATGAGCAGATTACATTCCCAGAAGAGGAAAAAAAGTGGCTTGAGAGTATGAATGAAAGGTGGGTGAAAGATTTCTGAGGTCTTAAAATTCCACAAGAGAACTGAAATATCTTACCATAATGGGCATACTCACTTTTATTTGTGGAGGAAGTGGGATGTATACATCTGAAGTTTTAGGGGTGAAAAAGAGGTGGGTGCGGAGAATTGTATGTCATTACTCTGATAGAAAATGTGAGATAACCCCCTGGTGTATCTTTGAGAGGAGAAGTGAGAGGTATATGTCCTTGCTGAATCTCTTTGACAAGGCGAGAGAGGAGATATGTCCCTTATGTATCCTTACTAAGGCAGTTTAAAATGTCTACTGGTAAGGGTGAGCACTGCGTGCCCCGATATGCCTTTTATAATGTGGATTTGCAGGAATGTTGATCATCCAGGGGAGTTGTTTGTTCCATAGGTAGATTTTGGACAAGGAGTGAAAAGTATGTACTGCTAATGTATCTTTATGCTCAGGCATTAGAAGATGACTTCTCTTGATAATGGTTAGAAGCTTGAAATGGGATTTGATATAATATTTTGGGTATCCACGTTTACATATTTAATCAAAGCCTTGAGATGAGCAGAAAATTGCACAGCGCCCATTTTCTGCAATATAACTGCAGACCATCACTGTTTTAATCTTTACATATTCTGTTCTTCATAGATTGCTACTATAAGAAATATTCGTGGAAGTTGAAAAGTAAGGGTAGGGTGGGGGAATCAGGGTATAGAAGCATAGAATATTTTGGAAGAAGTAAGGAAATTAAGGTAGTGTAGAAAGAGATGAGCTCAATGAAAAAGAGGAGGAAAGCAGAAGAGAAGTGAAGAGGAAAGCTGAGGAGGAGGGGGTGAGCGCTGCAGGGAGAGCGCAAGAGGAGATGGATAGCTTTGTCCTGCAGATGAACCCGCACGGCAACACGGAGGAAGTTATGAAGGATTCATCAGTCAGCACACGTCTCTGCGCTTCCCTGAGGTGCTGCTCCCCTACCTCCAAATCTCATTTATATCCCAGAGGGTGGAGGGAACAGATCCGCTACTCAGGCTACCCCCGAAACCCTTCTGAATTTGGGGCACACTATACTCCCTTTATTTATTTTTTGCCCTTGGTATTTAAGATTTGTAGATAGTAGAATTTTAGCCGTTATCAAGAGCTTGCATATTTGCTTTCTGAGTGATTGCATTGTTAAGCAGGTTCTTGGTTTGAGAGACACATGACAAAGACATTGTGGGTTTGGGTACCACTGCGAAGCATCTTGGTTCAGGCAGTTAGTAGGTGAATTCTTGCTTGTAATTAACTATTTGAATTATTGGCATTTTGCTATTCAGAGGAGACTTAAGCCGTGACGAAATTTGACTATCACCTTGCCTGTTCCACAATGGCTTTTTGATTCAGCGAGACTGAACAGGTTCATCATTTAGTACCTAGAAAATTACATTGCATTGGCACACCAGTAGTTAATATAGACTATTTGTCCGTGCCTAGCACAGATGGACAGATCCCAGTCAGACGTGCGTCTCCGCACATCACACATGTTAACTAAGCCTGCACAACCGCTAAAATGTCACACAATTCATACGTTATAGTAGCAATAACTGCATAGCTGGACACGTAATAATAAATCAGAAAAGCAAAAGAACATGTATGGTTTTTATTTAGATCTCACGCTTACCATTAAGCACTTTACAAACTGCGCAACTGCTATTATTTACTCGCTATTTTATTTCCCGCTATCAGTGATATTTTGGCGTGTGTAAGAGTTGGCTCGGGCCCAGCTGAGAATTTAATGCCATTTATTTAGAGATCCGCTTCTCCTCCTCCTCCTTGTCCTGCTGCTTTTCTATTCTAACTAAATAGAAACTAGAGCTCATGTGCCCTTCTGTGTTGTTTTTATTTGATTGAACGCAAAGTGCTGGTGACCTTGCAAATAAATTGGTTTGAAATAAAAAAACAAAACCCTTCATCCTATTTGTATGTATGGAACCCAAACATCTAAAGGGTTAAATCATTGTACCCCCAGGTGCCAGAAATAGGATACACAGGATTGTGATTCACCAAACTTTGTGAAATAAACATGAAAAATTATGGAAATGGCACAATTCATCAGGTACTTTCACAGTGTTTTGGATATATGACCCTGCAATGCATCCCTCAACAGGGAGCCTTCTTTATATGCAATTTCAGAATATTATATGGAATTATTGAATTACCTAGAATATGTATGTTGCTGAGCAGCGATTCATTAACCTTCTACCCCCTCCCTTACCTCCGTAACTCTGCCATAGTGTCACCCTTCTATTTGTTCCAACAGCTATAGAAAGTGCAGATATATGTGTGTATGTTTCTGCGCGATTTGTTAGAAGTTTGAGCCGCTGTCCCTCCATGGTTGGAATTTTATCTTTCTATATTCTTTTTCTACCGTGTGTTACTTTTTTTTTTTATTTGTGCATGTTACTATATAGTTTTTATTTCTTTTTACCTTTAAAAAAAAAAAAATATATTTATCTTTGCTTTTCCCTCATGTCTTTCACCTTCTATTTACTCATAATCCTTAGATCTAATATTCCTGTTCTCCTTGCACTGCTGTCCCCTCTTGATGTCGTGCCCATGCGTTCCCCGAGTGGAGATGAACGAGTCACAGGGTTGAGGCCATGACTGAACTCTTGAACCGTTGGAAGATAAGTGAGTGGTAGAGGGACTTATCATTTCTGCTTCTTTCCCGTCTTCATTTGTTTTTCTCTTTGCCCCTGGAGGGGTTTATTCCAATAGAGAATCTAAGCGGGGGAACAAGTGTTTTCCTTTACATATACTGCTGTGAGCATCAGCTGGGAAAAAAATATTATAAAGGGTTAATTAGGGATATAATTGTACACATTGGAAACTGAGGGGTTAATTGTACCTTCTCTCTGAACCATTAAACAGAGCCTTCCCGCATTCCAACCTAGCTCTTATTTTGCCTAGTTTGTCCTTATAATCACAAATGTGTTTGTGTTTTTTTTTCTTTTTCTCTTTCTTAAATTTCACTCATTTTTAACCTTTTTAATTGGCAACGTTGACGGCAGTGCAATGTAGAGCAATAAAGGGCAGGAATCAATTGGGTTATAGGATTGAAGCTTATTGTCATGTTATTGTCCTCCTTAAGGACTATTGCTATTCATCTTTCTTTCGTATTGCAGAATGCCTCCGAGATCTATTATCTGTGCGCACGTTTGGCGGTATAAAACTGGTGTTCATGTGTATTTAAAGTACAATTTTTTTTATTGTTTTCTTTTGTTGTTCAACCCTAATTATTGATTTTTTAAAAAATTATATGCTCTTACGATCCTTTTAATTTCTTTTGTTTGTTTTTTTCTTTAATGGAAAATAAGTATAATTTAACATTTTTTTATTTTAGTTTTTCATAGTATTTATGTCTTATTTGTTTCACCTTCCATGCCTCATGGTCAAAAATGAATGTTCTACAGTCTAATTGTAAAAAGAAACTAGCAGTTTTTTCTATATTGGCTGCGCAACGCAAATCGGACGTCATTCAATACTTGTTTATCTTTTAGTGCAATGAAGGTACATGAGGTATAGAGGCAAGTGGGCACACTGTTCCAAAGAAATGGTAACCACATTTTAAATTATTATAAACACTGAATGCGAAAAGTCCGCTTCTCACGTTTTCTTTAAAATAAGAAATACATTTACAAAAGGTTCTGACGCTACAATTCAATAGTTTGTATTTTTTGGTGCTGAAGACTTGTGGTTATTGGTTACAATTCCTACAACGCAAGTGGCTGATTAAATTATGGGAGTTGTAGTTTGTCAAACTTTGATGCTCACGTAACCTCTGGTACTCTGTAGATTGGATTATTATTTTGTGACATGACGTTCCAGGTTCCTATATCAAAGTTTGCTGGACTGACTACAGAGTGGAACTGAGCAACAGGGACCCTGTGTCTATTGTTGAACTGCAGCTCTCAGCACATATAGCCAGCACCTGCTTTTTTTGTGCTGACTAGAACAGCATGAGACGAATGTTGCAAAGTTGTACAACTGATACTCGTCCTTACTGTGCAATTTGATAATCAGTTGATATTCCAAAAGCTGAGCATTTTAGGATTTGCAGGGTAGCATAGACCTGCAACTTAGCCCTTGCCTACATTTTCTTGAATTTTCAGGGGGAAAATAATGTATAAAAAGCTGCTGTATTTTGTATTGTATCCTTTGTGTGCTGTTTGCATTTTAAAGTTTTGTTCACCAGGTTGTTGAACAGCAACGCTGTCAGTCTGCGTGTTCAAAATATTCTAGTTGAATAATAAAACATGATCATTAAATCATTGTGAAAAGCTGTTTAAAGTGTTTTGTTTGTGTTTGTGTTTTAGATATTCTATAAGTATATTTAGAATTTATTGATGTGTTAGCAGATTACTGCAAGCACAAAATAAATGCACGGAAAAGGAATCCATTAAGTTATGGCCGTTCTCAACACGAGATTGGAAAGCCGATGTATAGTAATTGAATTAGAATGAATATTATGTGATTACAATAAAACAATAGTGGGTGAATCTTTACTTTTATTATTTTCTCTTTCTTCACTTCTCCTCCTAATGTCAGTAAACTTTATGAAACCATACAGGTTGAATGTACTTTTAATATTTGTTTTCTGTGCCTGCTCTAACAATACCTGGAATTACAGAATCTTGACAAGTGTGTGAAAATCTAAAGTGATTAGAAAATATATTTGTTTTGGAAATCTATAATTGCTGGCGTTTCTGTACAAAGTGATATAAGTGCCTTGTTAATTCCTATTCTGTAGACACAATCCCGGGTCAATTTTCTTCAGATATGTTCAATCTGCCTGACCGTGCTCATCTTGCGACATCAGGAAAATGGTTTCTGAATATGTAATTTCTCTGACACTCCTAGTAGTTTATGGACCATGCATTTGAAAAAACAATATTAACACTGCATTTTATTTAAATAAAAAGTAATATGGAACATTTATGTGTACATTTTTACATAATTGATACGTTGCTGTGAATTGTCATTGTTTTGTCTTCAGAACCCCCTTCCAACCTTTTACATGTCTCTTACTTTTAAACTATAAACCTCTTCACTTAAGGGAAAGCTTCACAATTTAGATTTTTACTTTTAATTTTTGGTTAACCTTTTCATAATCTTATTTCTGACGTAACCTGTAATAACCGAATATTCTAGAATCTAAATTGAGCTATTTAGTTGCAGAACAGTTTTAGTTCTGTTTACATTTTAGACTTTTCTGTTCAGTAGATGATAACCCCATAATCATACTTTCAAACAAACCAATAACTTATCACCGTATCACTCAAACCTCTCGCATTTCGCCCTTTTTGCCACCTGATTGGGAATTGCTTGATTTATTTGCAGCTGTTTTGATAATGATAATGGGAACTGTCTACGACTTAATCCTTGGATTAAAGCATCTCAACTGCCCGGGTATCCAAAACAACAGCCTCTTAAGGATCTGTAGGGCAGTCATTTATTTAACTTTTAATTGGCTGTAAAAAGTGAACATACAAGTCTGGGTTAAGTTACACAAATCCTATCATTTTCAAGTGCAAAGAAAAAAAAATATATATCCTCCAACCAATAGTTTGAGCAAGAGTTTGAATATCCTATAAATTTGCACATAAAAATAATGATGTGATTTTATTGTGCGATTTAAACAATTTAAATTATAAGCAATGGCGATGTTGATGTGCCTCTGGGTTTTTAGTGCAACAATGCCGCAATCCATCAGCTTCTAATTTTGCATCAATACAAGGGATCAGGAAAATTAGGTGTAGTAACAATTCTGGTACCCAATCCTGCATCATTTACCATTGTTTTAATTTTCTATCTCCCCTCCCCCCCTGCTGTTTTATATGAGAATTATAATCAATACTTAGGGTACACATTCTCATCTCTACTACAAAAATCTGATTAAAAGGTTGCTTGTATTTGAACCACTCCGAGGCAGGCAGCTGGAAATAAAAATCTTCTGGTGCCTTGATACATACAGTGGCCATTTAAGGATGTGAGGAGATTTGCCACTTACAACCTGTCAAGCCCCCAGTGAGATTTTGCACCCTTTGACCTGTATAATCTGAACTTTATTAACTCTGGGCTGTGAGACCTGGCACTAGGAGTTCAACATCACATATTTTGCTTTTGGATTTCCTAAAAGTTGTCCAGTTTTTAGTCGCTTGCTTAAAATCTTGTTTAAAAGAGTTTTAAAGCAAAAGAGGGCAAGAGGGTGGGGAAGAGTGTCACGTTTTAACCCTCTGAGTGCCAGATGAGCGCACAATGCATTAGGTTCACCTTTGGCATTCAAAGAATGTTTTATAGAGCAAAACATGTTTTCCGTTCGCGTTAAGCCAACTTTAATATGTCCTCAACCCTATGACAATATTATTGTGATGGTCATTGCAGTGTAATGGGTTTGTACTAACACCTTGACATAAATGGGTTAAATTTCAGATATATTTTGAGAGACTCCGTAGTGTATATTGATCATATTTTTATAATCTTTGGATCAGCAACAACCATGTGGAAGAGTTGGATGGAATCATTTAAGATTAATTTAGATTAGAGTAAAAATGTGTGGGCTTTCTTTTTTTTTCTAAACAATGTTATTTTATTTCTGAAATGTCAATATTGTGTGCTATGCTGTATAATTGTCAAATCTAAATGTTTTTGATACTTATAAGCTGTAACCTGCCAACGGGTACTATAACCTAAGATTATGCAAAAATGGCCTAAAATCAATGTTGGTGATGTGGGTCACCTGAGGGCACTCATCTGCATCTATGTTGGGTTTGCCGAGTCACTGGGAAAAGATACATACCATTATCCCACGCTTCTCCCCAAACCTTATAATTTCTGCCATGTTCTGTTCCAATCCAAAATATAGAAGTCTCTAATCATTTGATAATTAAAAACAAATCCCTGATCCTATCCCACCAGATTTCTCCTTTACCACCACCAAGGCAACATTGCGAAGTAAGATAGATTTTGCCGAAATAAATATGGACTCGCCAGATAATTTTAATGTCCCCTCTAGAATTCCTGGCTGGGAAATTGTGGTACTTTTGATAGAGATTTATTTATTTATTTCTTATTCTGTATTATTTATGTAGCATTTTTAATTATGTGTCTAAAAATTGTCATTTTGGGGATTGTTCACGAAATAGGGATGTGCCGAAAATCAAAAAGAATTCAAAATTTTAAGCAAAAAGTGCTGATTTAGAACATTTCTCTAGTTTTACATTCACAAATTCACAACTATATTAGTCAAATTTACCCATTCCTATTTCAAACTAACACAGGTCTGTGTTTAGTAAATATACCATGTGGACTTTTGTATGTTTTTGTTTTTTGGTATTATCTGATTTTTCACACTTAAACCCTTCCAGACATGCAAGGCATTTTTAAAAATAAATTTCTTACAATTATGTCTTGTTTAATATATTAGAATAGTCCATACTCTGTTCACATTCATATTCTCTTTATTCCAAAACAATAAGGTGTCCTGTTTTTTTCCCAAAAAAATAAACATACAAATATTTTCTGGCAAAATAATATTGGACATATAGCAAAAAATACAACTGTTTTGGCATAGGGAAAGTGATTCATATATTGAAGAGTCTGTTTCAACTGGTAATGTATCATGAAGGTGATCGTCATAACTTTGGCACTTTAAAAATTTTACTTGATTTTATTTATTTATTTTCTTGGTATGAGTAGTTAGTGGTATATCTCATTTCTAACTGGGCTAAACTATGTTTAGTAGATATACCCCCCCAATTAATACATTCATTAATCTTTCATTCATGTATTCATTGAGGGTATATCTTAAAAGAGCTTGCAAAGGCTGCAGATCTCATTAACTGCAGCCTTAGCAAGCCCTCCCCCTTTTCCCCGAAAGAGACCTTCTCTTCATGGGGAAATATAAACTGATGCACTCCTGAATGCACGCGCACTGTTTTATGTGCCAGCTCATATCTGGTCTGAGGTCTGTGTGGATGGAGGCATGCGCGCTTAAGTAGAGCACACCTGTCTCTTTCGTTAGCTCAGGGGAGCTAACGGAAGGAGGCAGCAAACCTCCCTGGATGTCTGATTGACAGCCAGGGAAGTGTTTCATAGTTAATATAGAAAAGTGCTGATTCCGCATAGAAATCTGAACTTTTATAAAGTGAGCTTAATATAGGATACTACTCGCCCATACAGCACTTCAGCAAACTGAAGTGTTTTTTGGATGTGGAGTGGTCCTTTAAGCCAGCTACAACTCCCATCCC